TATACTATACTAGTATACTATATATACTACAAAACAAGATTTTTCAAAATTCAAAATGAGGGCCCCCACCCCCAATGACCACCAACGGCCATATTGCAAAAATAGCCATTTTTTTTAATTTACAAAACTAACCTTCTCTAACACTATAAATACCCCCCTCCCTCTTCTTCATTTCAATATTCAATACCCATTTCTCAATCTAAATTTCTCTCAATCTCTCAATCTCCAATTTTCAAGACTTCAAGTCTCAATCTTAATTTTCAAGTTACATCATGCCTCGTTCGGAAAGAGTGCGCTTATTTGTTTCGCACTACTATGAAGTGCTTGAAGAAAATGAAGAAGGCCAAATATTAAAGTGCAAGAACTGTGGAAGAGTCTTAAATTTTCGTTCAGGGTGTACCACAGACATTTTAAGGAGGCATATAACGTATTGTGTTGATGGTATTATCCGCAAATTCGTCTTTAAGATTTTTCAACAATTTGTGTTATTTTAAAATTATTAAACGTATTTATACTTCATGTTGTACTTTCTTATTAATTTACTATGCATGACAATTTAGTTTTACTATTATTTTGTTATTTTACTTTTTCGTCAAGCACTTTAATAATTAGATTTCTACATATATACTACATATATATATTTTATATAGCCATGATATGGTTTACAAGAAATTGCCTTAAACAAAAAAAAAATTTAAAAAAAAGCCCGGAAATAAAAAAGCCCGTTAGGCCCGCTAAGCCCACGAGCCCGACCCGTTTAGCCCAGGACCATATGGGCTTAGGCCCGTCACGGGCTGGTTCCACCCGTGGAGCCCACGAAGCCCGGGACCGCCAGAGCCCAGGCCCGTTAAGCCCGGCTCATTTGGCCCATTTAGGCCCGAGCCCGGCCCAGAATACAGCATTATCCCTAAAATCACTATATATTAGAAAGTTTTCCTAAAAATAAGAAGAAATATTTATAAATTAATATCCTAAGTATTAGGTTTAAGGGTTATTTTGATATATACTATATTTTGTTAAGGGTATTTTAGGTAAGAAGAAAAGCCAAAACTACTTCTGCTTCTGCTTTTGGAAATAAGCTACTTTTTTCTACTTCTCTGAAACTGCTTCTACTTCTTCTCAAAAGCACTTTTTTCCCCTCAAATTAGGATTAAAAAGTGCTTTTGGGGAAAAAAAACACTTTTGGCCTCTTGAGAAGCTTGGCCAATCTAGAGAAAAAAGATATTCTGGAGCAGTGGAGCTCCCTTCAACTCCCTGTAAAGACACCAGGAGCAGACCTGCAACAGAGTTGGAAATCACAACTCTAGTGCATGGATCACGTTGGTAGCAACTTTAGATACTTCCAACAAAGTCCTACCGCGGGTTCAAGTTCGAAATTCTATCACCACTCATTTGATTTACTGGGTTCCAAATCAATTAGTAGTACTCAAGTGAAATTTTTTACCACATATACAGGGTCCAACACAAAGCTACTGGGAGGAACCCATAGACTGAACAGTCTACATCAGCCCCTGGAGAAGACGTAACATTAACAGAAAATAAAGATGTTCAATATCCAAATGCAGGAGGGAAACCATCATAATTGAGATATTTGTTCATCGTGATACACTGTATATTATTACCCAATGAAAATGGAGGTCGAGCTGCTCCATGACACGATTATAGTTATTTAATAGTACCTTCACATGATCCGCGACATTTCAATACTAATATGAACAACAAAGTCACAGTACAATTAAACGCATTTGCTCATCAAATTTCGAAGCATCAATAACAAATGCATTCACGTAATTACACACCTCCTCTTATACTACTTCTTTAGCCGGAGCAGCAGCTTTCTTCAACTCATCATCCACAACCTTAGTCGGAATCGCTATGTATCCCATCTTCTTAGGACTAACGTCATCACCACTGTCATCCTCGGAATCCTCAAAATCAAAGCGATTGGGCCAGAAAAGGGACCAGATCAAGTACATCGTCGCAAAGGTCAACGCGCCGCAGCCTACGCCAAAAAGCAAAGCTCCGACGAATCTCATGATATCCTTTGAGCGATCACGAACGGAGCTCGTCACCGACGAGTAAAATTCCACCGGAATCATCATCGACGGCGAAGATCCACTCTCCAATTCTTCTTCCACCTGTTCTACGGCGTCGTCCCTATCGTAGAAGATCGGGTCGGGTCCACGGATTAGCATCGGGTCGGATCTCCGGAGGAAAATTGAGGGTCTATTGAGTCCGAATTTTGAACTGCCGTCACGGAAACTGATGGAGCTGAAGGAGAAAGTTAGGAATTGGGGAGAAATAGAGGGGTTAGGGAGGAGGAAATTAGGGTTAGGGTTTTGAGAATTGGTGGTTGTGGGGATGTGATAATAGGAAGTGGAAGTGATGAAGAATAGGGTTTTGCATGGTCTAGCGGCGGCGGAGACGGCAAGGAGAGAAAAAGTAAGAAGTAGAAGAGTGAAATTCGAGGTCGCCATTGACGCGTAGAGAGAGAAGGAGGGGGATCAGGAAATTAACAATGACGATTATGGCTTTAGATGAAAATTTTGGGGAGGAAATTATAATTTTTTGTGATTCTATAGATGATAACATATAATTTGACCTTGATGCATATAATTTGACCATTTTTTTTTACAGATTTTAAAGTCCAACTGTGTAAGTTACTAACAACTTCCAAATTATTACCAAAAGAATTTTCCAAAAAGACAAAGAGATCGTGATAGTTTACATTTTTTTTTTATAATTTCTTTTTTTTTTCACCTAGTATTTGATACTTGTATTGGGTCCGATTAAATCTTGATTCGTATCGAAAAATCTAACATTAGGGTAACAAAGGCGTCTTTTTACCCATGGCTCGAACCTGACATCTCTAATTAAGGATAAATAAAGGAGTACTTACACTCTATAACAACCGTTGTTGGTCTTTCAAAGAAAGCTACTTGTCCAACAAAATGATATAAACGTAAATATTTTTTTTGGTAACTAAATTTTTTGTATTAATCACCAAGTAAATATTTACATGATCTATAACAAGGCTACACACAGCCTGTTATCGCCAACAAAATAAACCAGAACTAACAAATAGCTAATCTAGAATTTAAGTCTATGAACAACATTTTGAAGTAATGACTTATAATTTGTGGGCCCATAAAAAATGACCTAATGAACAATAGTCATTGCTTCTCCGTGACTTTTTCTCGTTTTTTAGAATTTTAGGGTTATAAAACAGGAACTCAACACGATTTTATGATTTTTCGTGTGCTAATTAGTCCATGCATCTTCATGAATCGGGCGACCGGCCCCGAATCACCTAATATTTTGTGGGCCCATCAGAAATGACCTAATGAATAATAGTCATTGCTTCTCCATGACTTTTTCTCGTTTTTTGAAATTTTAGGGCCATAAAACAGGAACTCAACATGATTTTTCGATTTTTCGTGTGCTAATTAGTTCATGCATCTTTATGAATTCGGGCGGCCGGCCTCGAATCGCCTAATACTTTGTGGGCCCATCAGAAATGAGATAATGAACAATAGTCATTGATTCTCCATGACTGTTCCTCATTATTTGACATTTTAGGGGTATAAAACAGTAATTTAGCATAATTTTTTATTTTTCGTGTGCTAATGTTCACGCCATCTTCATGAATTCGGGAGACCAGCCCCGAATTGCCTAAAACTTGGTAGGCACATTAGAAACAACATGAATAATATTCATTGCTTCTCTATGACCGTTCCTCATTTTTTGGTGCTTTAGGTCAGTAAAATATGAGTTCATCACGATTTTCGATTTTTTCCGGGTACTAATGTCTACACCATTCTCATGAATTAGGGCGGCCAGCCCCGAATCACCTAATATGTCACGACCCAATTTAGGATTGTGACCGGCGCTTAGGAGCAAGTGCTCCCAAGTAAGCCTCATCGGTAACTTTACAGAAAATCGGACAGAGTTTTCCCTGTTTTTGGACTATCCCAAATTTTTTCTCTGTCTCAAATCAGCAACCAAACATCCTAATAGCAATTCAATAATTGACAACTTGTCAATTAACCAATACAATTCTCCACCATAACTAAATCACCAACTAACCATTAGAAATACAAATTTATCTCCAACTTTGATAAATGAGAACAATACTCAACATAAGACTATAATAACAAAAGAATACTCATGACACTAAAATACTGACTATGGAGCAACTCTAAGAGTTCAATGGAAAGACCATAACAATAAATAAAATCTCTGCCCAAGTGAACAAGTGCGAGGCTCACCAAGAATTCTCAACCTGTGTGCTCTAATTAACGAGATCCTCGCCTGCGTCAGCTGTTGTCCCTGTAAAAAAAAATTTAGCGGGGAATGAGTCGCTAGCCCAATGAGTAATAACACTTATTCACAACCGTTTTTATTTGGGGACAAGTCATAAACATGCTAGTATTTCAAAGAGAAAATAACGTAAAAATGCCCTTTCAGAAACAATAAATAAATTTTCAGTCTCATCACGCTTTTCTTGTAGTAAAATATAATTAACCATTCAGTAATAAGATCGATAACCACTGTATAATATCAGTATTCATATTTTAGAAGATTTCAATGAACGGATCATGTAGTCGGTATAACTGTGGACTTCTTTGCAAGAAGTCATATATAACGGTAGTCCCTACTCGAGGGAAATCGGTAACGGTATGCTAGTTCTACCTCCCCACTAGCAAGGGCTATGATAGTAATCTGTAATTACAAGGTGCACCAGGTCTAACGAACCCGCCATTAGCTACGGGATCCTTCAATGTCTACTCTCATTTATACTTGTCTCTGTAATCCGTATATACTCGTAGAAACTATTCTAAAACAATATAGGGCATTTCGATTCTTATCAAATCATATAATTTTCTTTCGATAACAGTAAATTCAAGCAACAGTCAAACAGATCTAGTGACAACGAAAGTATTTAAAACCACGGTATTCATCTCAAATAACTATTTCGGTATCATATCGAGTAAAAGACTTGTCACACATGCAACTCAAAATAATCGGTAACATATTCATATTAAAAATCATGTGTAAATCATGCAAGTTATGAAAACACAAATTGTGGTAAGATTACTACTCACTGTACTCGTGCCGAAATACCAAATGTTTCACCTCGAGCAATTCGTACAAATTCCTCCAATCAATCTTTAATTACATAATATCATTGCAATTCGTACAAATTCCTCCAATCAATCTATAATTACATAATATCAATCTCATGTTAATTTCCTCGTTTAGGCTAATTCATAGCTAATTTAGAATACCCAACCATCGGGGTTCATGTTTGGATCTTAATTTGTGGATTTTTATTTACCCTCATATGAGTAATTACTAATTTATCAACTCCAACCTATTCATATAATTTATTACTCCAAATTTCATAAAGTTCTATTGGTTCTTCAGGAAGAAAATTCTCAATTGTGTGAACGAACTAGTGTATTTTTTTTACTCTGTAGAATCTTCCAATCAAGAGAATCGAAATTAAAATCCACCAGAAGAAAAAGTTCAAGTAACACCCGTAAGAGACAATTTGTGCTTAAGATTCCTCAACAGTTATAGCTATGGCTCCAATACGCTGCACCCACTTCTTCCTCCTTTTTTTCTCTTTTCCTTCTTTCTTCCTCTGCTCTTTTTCTTTTCGTTTTTTTTACGTTGTTTCGAAGCTTTCTGCTTCGTTTCCTTCAGAAGCAATTTGCTTCTAACCCTTTTCACCTTTTATTGGCAGATGTGCCAATGGGCTTTGGCCCTTTGGTTTAAATTCTTATCTTTTTTTTTAGTTAGCTGATTTTCTCTTTCTTTCTTTTTATTTTAAAAGAAAACTTAAATTATTTACTAAATATCCCATATGACCTCATTTAAAATATTGGGGTATTACACTCTCCCCATCTTATGAAATTCGGTCCCCGAATTTAACTCAAGTACGTACCTCTAGACTGAAACAAATGGGGATATTTCGCTTGCATATCTTTTTCTACCTCCCAAGTAGCTTCATCAACGGTATGATTTCTCCATAAAACTTTAACGAACACAATTTCTTTTGACCGTAGCTTTCTTACTTGCCTATCAACAATTGCCATCGGCGCCTCCTCGTAAGACATCTTTTCAACGAGCGGTATTGTCGGTGCTTCAATCATCTGAGATCAGTCTGATATACATTTTCTTAGCATTGAGACATGAAACACTGGATGAATAAGGATAACTCATGAGGAAGTGCCAAACGATAATCCACCGCTCTCACTCGGTCTAGTATCTCATACGCTCCTATAAACCTGGGGCTCAACTTGCCTCTTTCCCCAAACCGTATTACACCTTTCATACGGAAGACTCGTAGGAACACTTTGTCTCCAATTGTGAACACTAAATCTCTTCTTCTCTTATCAGCATAAGACTTTTGTCTGCTTTGAGCTACAAGCAATCTCTGTCTGATCAACTGGACCTTGTCCATAGCTTCTTGTACTAGGTCGGGTCCCAATAAGTTAGTCTCACTAACTTCAAACTATCCGATAGGAGAACGACACTTTCTACCATACAATGCTTCGTACGGTGCCATTTGAATACTGGACTGGAAGCTATTGTTTTAAGCAAATTCAGCTAATGGTAGATAAGTGTCCCAACTACCTCCAAACTCAAGAATGCAAGCTCTCAACATATCCTCCAAGATCTGAATAGTACGTTCAGACTGCCCGTCTGTCTGTGGATGAAATTCAGTACTAAGATCTACTCGTGTACCCAATGCTTCTTGAAAAGATTTCCAAAAGTGTGAAGTGAACTGTGATCCTCTATCAGAGATGATGGATACTGGAACCCCGTGAAGTCGGACAATTTCGTTCATAAATATCTGTGCATACCTAACTCCACCATATGTAGTCTTCACCGGCAAAAAGTGTGCTGATTTCGTTAGTCGATCTACAATCACCCATACCGAGTCGTAACCTCTAAGGGTTTGTGGTAGCCCGGTGACAAAATCCATAGTAATTCTTTCCCATTTCCACTCTGGAATCTCAATTTGTTGTAGTAATCATGCGGGTCGCTGATGCTCAGCTTGACCTGCTGACAAGTCAAACAACTAGAAACAAAGTTAGCAACATCTTTCTTCATACCTTCCCACCAATAAAATTGCTTCAGGTCATGGTACATTTTTGTGGATCCAAGATGTATGGTGTATTTAGTGTTGTGAGCTTCTTTAAAAATAGCATGTCTCAACCCATCTACGTCTGCTACACATAGCCTCTCACACATTCGAAGAACACCATCACTTTCAACAGTCATATCCTTGCTTTTACCATCTAGGACCTCATCTCTGTATTTACATAATCGTTCATCCTCATATTGGGTGGCCTTAATGCGCTCAACAAATGAAGACTTAGCCTGAGCACAAGCCAACAATGCCTCTGAATTTCCGACACTAAATCTGATACATGTATCTTCTAGTCTCTGAATATCTTTAGCTAAAAGTCTCCTTGCAGGGGCAATATGTGCCAAACTCCTCATAAATTTTCTACTCAATGCATCAGCCACCACATTGGCTTTTCCA